TGATACATGAAAAACCTCAAGCAGTGTGACAATTAAGGAGACTTTTTAGTTTTGCTAATTTGACCGCTATGTTTTAGGTTTTGGGTGCCTTGCAGCAAGCCAGAGGAGGAGATAAAAGGATGCATTTCTGAGTGCTGGTTATCTTTGTCAGTTAAAAAAATCTAGGGCTTGTACATATAACTTATTTCCATTTCTTCAGCATAGACATAGTTTTTAGTCCTATGTAGCTCTTTAAAATGCAGTTGTGGCAATATTGTATTGAATTCTTGTCTGCTTCCTCCACTTTGGCCTATATCTGGATCCATAACTCTGTGCTGCTGTTGTGTTGTAATCCCTTTATTCCTCATTCAATGCAAGAGCAATGCGTACTTTGTACACTTGGCCAGTGGAAAGAAATTTAGCTCCACAAATCCATAAGCAAGGAGCCACAGGCAATCCTGACATGCTGACAAATATATCTGTGTGTGTGAAATCACATGCTACATCTGGCTTCCTTAGCAGACAAAGTGAAAAAGAGGACTATATCTTTAATTACATATCTGATATTTCCTCTTCTCTGCACAACTGTGGAGGGGACAAAAGCTCATCTTTTGCATCCAGCTCCCTAGCTTTCTCTCTAGCTGGTTCAACACACCCCTTCCACATCTTTTCATTCCATCCTGCAAGAGTGTTGTTTCCAAGGCACAGTTAAGTGGAGCCAGCAGATCAAGAATTCTTCTTCTACTTCTCTTTCACATCTTCCTCAAATAGCAAGGGTGCAAATAGGAAATGCTCAAAAGGCACCACCACCCTTCATATCATTTCTTCTGCTTAGAAAAATCCAGAGAAGCTGCACCACCAGCTGGAAAGAAAAGAGAAATACAACAATTACAGTTCAAGGAAACCAAGCTTCCAAATTTTCCATCTCAGGGTCCAGTCTTATGCCAGTGATTAGGACAGGATATAATAATATGCATCGGACATAGTAATAATACGTCATTATTTTGATCTGCCCATGCAGCGAATACATCTCGAGAAGGACTGTTAAGAGTCCCACCTCTGTCTGAATTGATGGGGATATGGATAAGGTGACAGACCTTCTCTGTGGCAACTCCCACCCTTTCAAATCCTCAACTCCAGAGGTCCATAAACTCCCCTCCATCATGGTTTTCAGACAATTTCCAAAAATAGATATATTTCACCAGGCCTTCAGTGCTACCTAGGTTTCATTGCCTTCCAATGGGGAGGGAGTGGATTTTTTATTATTATTGTGGGGTTTTAGCAATAATTTTGATTTATTTCTATAATTTCTATAATTAATTTATTATAAATTTATTATAATTTATAATTAAAATTACAGAAACAAATATAATCTTTATTTCTGTAATTTTAATGTTTTATAAACTGTACACTCTTTTGAGAGAAAGAAAGAAAGAAAGAAAGAAAGAAAGAAAGAAAGAAAGAAAGAAAGAAAGAAAGAAAGAAAGAAAGGCAAATGTAGCCCAAAGTATATGTAATTATGGAAAGAAAATAGGAAACCTTTTGATGCATAACATTAAATTAAATTAAGAAGTGATGAGGAGCATGTGTGTTTTTTGGGTGTTTAGTAGTTCCAGACAGCATAAGTAATGAGGGAACTTTGCTGCTTTTATAAGTAGGTAGAGGCGGTATAGTTCAGGCAATGGGAATGTTCTTGTCTGTAATTGCAGTTGGTTTTGTTTTCATGCTGGACAGTGAACAAAAAGTATATTATACAAAGGTAATAAATCTTTTATTGGGTTACCTGATGAAAAACAGAAGTGTTGTGGTAAATTCTGAAACTGTTACACCCATGCCATCAAGAAGACACTATAGTCAAGCTCCTTGGATATATTTATTTATAATTCCTGTTGTTTGTACTCAAAGAAGAAATGACCATTCTGGTTAAAAAGAAAGAAAAAGAAAAAAGAAAGAAAATCAGGAAACTTCTAGCACCTTTTCAGACTAGCAAATTTTATTAAAAGGCATAAGCTGTCATTAGCGATGCGAAAGCTTCTGATTTTTGGCTACTGTAGACTAACAACAGCTCTCCTCCTACAATTTCCTGAACGGTTAAAAAAACAAAGACATTCAGACGAATTGAACAAGCAAACTACTCATAAAATAGCACCATTAAATTTATGGAGCATGACTACAATTCTACACACAGTTACCTGGAAATAAGCTCTATTTAACTCCGTGGGGCTTACATTTGACTGCAGAAATGTTTAACTTGTAAAACGTTGTGAGTTTTAACAAAAGGTCTTTGGCAAGTTCAAATGCAACCTTTAGCTTTTAATTAAAAATGCAAGCTATCTTTTAATTAACTGTTATAAACTAAAGCAAAAACAGTTCAGCTGGTAGAGAAAAAAGGCAATACCTTTATTAAGCCAACACTACAGTATGACATCATCTGGCAAATTGCTTAACATGCACAGAGAGAGAAAAGTGTGTGGCACGGCAGAGGGGAATAAATGACTTATATCAGTCTCAACTGATGGATGAAGAAGAGAATTTATCAAAGCTGAGGAAAAAATAGACAACCTGTATTATTTTCTTTGTTCACTGATTATTGTAAGGGTAATATCACAAATTGCAGTAAAACTTGAAAGTCTCATTATCACCCCTTCTCCTGGCAAAATACGGAGAGCCCCTGTATTCTACTGGTGTTCCACCAGACGATAGCATCACTCATCTCATTGTCCTGCAGTTGTGTTGCTCTGCATTCCCACTGTTTTTTTTAAGCTAAGAAATTCTAATCCTTTAAAATGTCCAAGAATATAGAAAAGTATTCACATCCAACCAAAAAACAAACAGCAAAAATAGCTCAGTAGTCAGCCACTGCTTCACAAGTGCAATGCCCCCACAACTGCTTTTAGCAGCTTGAATTTTCTGTTCCAGAAGATTGGAGTCTAGATGAAGACTCCAGAGCTTGGAAGATTTACACACTAAGCAGAGACACAGCAAAATATATAATCTACCACTGTCTCCTGAGGATGGTAAAAGGAAAAACAATTTTTTGCCTTTTTCCTGGCAATAACACTTGATTTCAGCCTTGATCCATGGCAGTGGGTAGGTCCAGAAAAAGGGCTGAAGTGGTGTCTGTACGATAAAAGAGATAAATGATAGCTAAAAATTGTGTTGCTTGTTGAGAGCAGACTGAAAGAAAGATTCCAAGGCAGAAATGTTTAGAGGGCAAGAGAACTGCAGACTGAAGCATAAGTTAGTGGAACAGGAAGACAGATTGAAGGTAATTTAGCAATATCCTTTTGTGCTGTATAATAATTGTTGTGTTGTTACAATATCTTCTTCGGAAAGGTCAAGAGCACAGCAAAAAGCAGTGTCACTCTCAGAACATCTGAGGACATAGCTCATCTGCCCTTCTGCAGGGGCAAAATTACCTCCCTGTAGCCCAATACATGATCAAATGATAACCTGCAGTTTTCTTCCATAATTACTTGGTATGATAAGAAGAAACTGCGATAATTAATCATGGGATAATTTGATGTTAGCAGGGCAGATTCATGGCTAATGAAAGCAGTTATTTAAATGATCAAACAATATAGCTTCAATTATCATATTAATAATTCATTCCCCTAGTTAATATACCCATTTGCATTTGATGGAGTATTGTTCAGGCAGGGGTCTATAATCTCTTCTCGGGTGTTCTAGTCCTGCAAACATGTGCACGTATAGTTACTAAGGAAAGAGGAACTGTCAAATTATCTCTGGGGAGATGGGTGGGAAGATAACACAAAAAGGAAGAGGCTTGGTGCAACTGCAGCAGGTAGTGGCTTTCCTTGGTATAAGTCTTCACTCAATATTCACAATCTCATTTCTCAAACAGAGAAATTGCAAGGGGTTCCTGTTAAGTCAGCAGACAACTTGGTGCTGTAAAGTTCTGAATTTGGGTGTGTGTGTGCACGCGCACGTGCGCCTTCAAGTCATTGTTGACTCCTGGTGACTGCCTGGACAAGTCCCTGTAGTTTTCAGAAATGGTTTGCCATTGCCTCCTTCCTAGGGCTGGGCCAAGGTCACCCAGCTGGCTTTGTGCTGAAGGTGGCACTAGAACTCACGGTCTCCCAGTTTCTAGTATGATACCTTAACCCAGTGTTGTCCAAACTTGGCCACTTTAAGATGAGTGGACTTCAACTCCCAGA